TGCTTTGTTTTGTTTTGATTTTGTTATGTTTTGTTTTGAGACAGGTGTTTTCTGTGTAACCCTGTCTGTCCTGGAACTTGCTCTATAGACAAGGCTGGCCTCTAACTGAGAGATCTGCCTGCCTCTGCCTTCTGGGTGTTGTGATTAAAGGTATATGCTATTTTCAACTGGCTTAGAAAGACCTTTTTAAAAAGTTTAATCATAAGCAAGAGTAAACATTTAAATGGCTTTCTGAATATTTCTTAAACATGAGAAAGTTGTTTTTTATGTATAAGGTAAACTTTTATATAGTTTTATGGTTCAAATATCTATACTTTTGGCTTATAATATGTTATTTCCCAACTCATACAAAACATTTGTCCTCATACGCAGCATTATTTTTCTACTTTCCTTTCCTAGTTTGTTCTTGGTGTTACAGAAGCATTTTTTTCATAAGTGGCTTATTTCTTAACTTTTTTCAATCATGTTAGAAACACTCTATGTTCCAAAATTTTAGTTTAAACCCAGTTTCTTCCATTAATCTTATACTTCCATGAAAAGTTATTATGTCAGTCTCTTGGACCTGGATTTCTTGCTTGATTCTTTTTATCTAGAATTCTTCACCAGACCCCAGGTTCATTTTGCCTAGTCACATTCTTTACCGCCATTCCTTAGAGAACTTACATGTTATTTTTGGAAAGACCCACTTTTATACTCTAATTTTTAGTGTGGCCCAAGTGTCTCTTTAGCAGAACTTAAATAGTACTAATTGGGTGTTGGTAAAGTGAATGGCACCAGACTTTAAGGTTTATAAATGATCTCTCAGTATAATACACTTTACACACCCCCAAAAATATACCAAATGAATTTAAAATGACTTTCCATTTTTAGTATAATTTAATGATATATACTTATAACGATTAAGGCAAACCATCTTACTGTGTTGTCTTCAGGGTAAATTTATCACGTGTTATTGAAAAACTGTGAGAAATGCCCCTCAAGGACTTGAGAAAACATTCACAAAGATACTGCAAGTTGAGTGATGGGATATTGCTGTGGGATGTTCTGTATGTCCTGTGGGAGCCCGTTCTTGGGTTCCTCGTGGCTTTACCCAGCAGGTCCGCATAGAGGATGATTAGGACCACGGGCCTGAGTGCAGGTGTCTGAGATGGTCTGCACTTGGCTGTGCTGGGGGATGGTCTGTATGTCAAGTTGCTCTGATTGGTCAATAAATAAAACCTGATTTGCCGTGGCTAGACAGGAAGTATAGGTGGGACTAACAGAGAGGAGAAATAAGAGAACAGGAAGGCAGAAGGGGTTACTGCCTGCAGCAGCCGCCAGGACAAGGAAGATATAAAGTACCGGTAAGCCATGAGCCACATTGCAAGATATAGAATTATGGAAATGGATTAATTTAAGCTATAAGAAAAGTTAGCAAGAAGCCTGTCATGGCCATACAGTTTGTAACCAATAGAACTCTCTGTGTTTACTTGGTTGGGTCTGAGCACCTGTGGGACTGGCGGGTGACAAAGATTTGTCCTGACTGTGGGCAAGGCAGGAAAACACTAGCTACAGGATATTGTATTTATACTTGGCTGAGAGCAGTGAGTCTTAAAATTTGGTTCTGGGACATAATTTATATGAACTTCTTGAACATTCAGCATTAGTGTTAACCACTTGAATTGTGCACAGGAGAATAAACAATAGAACCACCGCTTGGATTATTTCACAGTTGTCCATTCCCTGAAGTATTTGCAATTTCACACAGGTGATTCTTGAGAATGCATGGATCACAACTTCAGTTTCACAGAAGAAGGGTCACCAAGAAGGTATCACTTGAAATTCTGACATGGAAATAGCTTCTCACATGGAAAGCTGGCTGTAAGATTTTACTAACATATGTATGGCAGTATTTTAGTTCATTAATTATCTCTGAAATCTTTCTAATAATATTTAAACATAATGTAAATATTATGTATAAAATCGAAGAAAACCATAATGCTTTCTTTTTTTTTCAAGACAGAGTTTCTCTGTGTAGTTTTGGTGCCTCTCCTGTATCTTGCTCTGCAGACAAGGCTGGCCTCGAACTCACAGAGATCCGTCTAGCTCTGCCTCCCGAGTGCTGGGATTAAAGGTGTGCACCACCACTGCTCAGCTCATAATTCTTTTGTAATATTCTTCAATAGAGACATCTTGTTAGAATTACTTAATGATAGCTTTCTACAATATATGTGTTGGTACTATTTATTATTTCATGTTTAATGTATCTTCTTACATAAAGCATTAAACTTTAATAATTTATATATTTTTAAAACTTCTGTGCAAGTGTGTACCTGCATAAGTTTATGTGTGCCATGTGTGGACAGGTATCCTCAAAGACCAGAAAGAGTAAGATTATGTGTAACTGAAGTTACAGGCAGTTGTAAGCTGCCTGCTATGAGTTCTTGACCCAAATCCTGGTCATTTGAAAGAGCAACAATTGCTCTCAACTGATGAGCTATTCCACCAGCCCCTTAGTATTATACTTTTAATGAATTATATCCTTTAAAACAGGTATTCCTATGGTATGACTGAGCATCATTTGAGTATATGCCCAAGAGTAACATAGCTGCATATCGAGGTAGGTTGATTCCTAGTTTTCTGAGAAACCACCACACTGACTCCCAAAGTGGCTGTACAAGTTTATGCTCCCATCAGAGGTGGAGGAGTGTTCTCCTTGCCCCTCATTGGCCCCAGCATGAGCTATCACTTATGGTTTTTCTTTTTCTTTTTTTTTTTTAATCTTAGCTATTCTGACAGGTATAAGATGGAATCTCAGAGTCATTTTGATTGGCATTTCCCTGATGGCTAATGATGTTGAACATCTCCTTAAGTGTTTCTCAGCCATTTGAGATTGTTCTGTTGAGAATTCTGTTTAGATCTATACCCCATTTTTTTAAAATTGGATTATTTGGTTTGCTGATATTATAGTTTCTTGAGTTCTTTATAAATTTTAGAAACCAGCTCTCCGTTGGATGTAGAATTGGTGAAGATATTTTCTCATTCTGTAGACTGCCATTTTTGTCCTATTGTTGGTGTCCTTTGTGTTACAGAACTTTATATATATTTAACGTTAATTCTAAATTTTCACATCCATCTCATATATTTTTAATAGAAAATTTAAACTTTTATTATGGTATATTCATAGGTATAAAGATTTTTTAACTTTGCATTTTGAAGTAATTACAGAGGGTCACTAAAAATCACCAAACACATTGAACAGAAAGGTCCAATTCATCCTTTGCTCAACTTCTTCCTGTGTTAATTACTGTACAAAAGAAAAATGGAGTTGACATTGGTACATTCACAGTTGTGTATGTGTATATATAATTTATCACATCAATAGCATCTTGTCATGCAGTGTAAAGAGATTGCTTTCATGATGATCATAGGGTTCTTTCTTGCTACCCTACCCAAGCCACATTACTCTTCCAAATATATTACTTCAATTCGGTATTTTTTTATTTCAAGAATGTTATACAAATGGAATCATATAGTACACATCATTTTGAGCTTGCCTTACAAAATCAGCATCATGTCCTTGAGGGCTATCCAAGATATATGTATCAATAGCTTGATCCTATTTAAGTTGACTAGCATTCCAATACAATAAGATTGAATTATCTTTTTTTAGGTTTATTTTATTTATGTGTATATTTTCATAAGTGCATTCTATGTATGTAAATGTGCCCTTGGAGGGCAGAAGGAAGCACTGGACCTCCTGAGCTAGAGACGGTTGTCTACCTCCTAACATGGGTGATGGGAACTGAACCAGTGTCCTCTAGAAAAGCAGCAGGTGCTATTAACCACTAAACTATTTCCACAGTCCCCAGTAGTTTTGTTTTAAAGAATACTAAATTTGCTTTAATTTCTGTTATGTGTTGAATTGTACTATTAATCTAAACTCTATAGTCAAAATCTAACTCTCAGTTCGCAATAGTGTGATATATTTGGCAATAAGTCTTTACTGAGTCATTAAGGAAACATGAGATCATATGAGTGGTCACAATTAAATGACTGATGCCCATGCACAAAGAAACTTTTAGGGGACTGGATACAAGAGGAAAGACTATGTGGAGACATGGAAGAAGTTGGCCAGTTTGGAAGCTTAGCAAACCATCTCAAGGTGGAATCAGTTCTTCAGAGTCCTGAACCCCAGAATTGGTTTTCCCAGTCTATTGGGCAATCTGGACTTTGTAGGAACATTGCTGAGTGTCCTCAAAAGAGTGGCAGTTCCTTTTATAAAAGATTGTGGCTCTTCAGATTGATAATTCTTCCATTTTAATCTCATTTCCTGAGAGTCAGGGTCAGCTTGTGAAAAGCTGTTAAACAACATCTTCAATGTGAAATGCCAACCCTCTTCTAAGCTCTTCCCCCTTTTAAAAGCATAAAATGGAGACTTCAACAGGTTTTACAGTGGCCTTTCTGATTTTGGTAGTCTATACAATAAGGGAGTTTGGAAGTTCTTGTATATCATTAATTATTGCTGTCCATGTCTTGCATGAAATACCATGATTGTTAAAGAAATTATCTTTAATAAAGCTGGATACAGTTTGAAAAAAGTTAGCTGGAATGTTTTTAAAATAAAGATTAATTATAATTAAAATAACGTTATTATTTGTTTTATTTGATGTATAAAAAGGATGGCAGCATAAGTGGGTCAATTCAAACTCAGTGCATTTAGCAACAGTTTATTTATAGCTACCTTTCATTGGTAGAATTAAATATGCACTTATTAAGAAATATTGGTATCTGATTATATTAAAAACACAAACTTCCGTTACAGAGAAGTATTTATCTTATCAGGCCATATTGCTTAGGATATAACAAAACTTTCTTCATTTTGAAAATGAAAGCAAAGAGATCATGTCTACAGTGTATTGCATGAACATCACAACTATACTGAACACAAGCCTATCAGGGATGTTAAACATAAAAAAAAAACTGGGAGACAGTTTTGAGAGAACAGTAAAGGGACTTACCATCTTGATCTGTGGTCACTGTAATAGCTGTGAATGGCTTGGGAGAAATGCTCAGCTCAGAGACTCCATTCATGGCTTCTATTTCAAAGGTGTAATTGACATGAGACACGAAGTCAAGTACGATCACAGAATTGTTGATCAGTCCAGTATGTCTTGGGATGAAGCGGAGTCCTCCACCACAGTCCTCACATTGGCTGGTGTCTAAGCCACATTTCTTACAGATTACACTGTATGTGAGATCCTTCCTCCCTCCTGTGTCACTAGGTGGGCTCCATTCCAAAATAAGGGCTGTTTCATTGATGTTAAAAGCCACATTTCTAGGAGCTGAAGGTGGCCCTAGAAAAAAGCAATGAGAAAACAAAATGTACATGTATTGAATAATGAATGATGGTGGTGCTACATTGAAATTTTCACGAGTACATGCTGTTGATCTTAAATATGAGCTGGAGATCATTTTCTTACAAGAACCATAAAGAACTTGTTTAAATATCTGATGAAGCTAAAAAAGAACATCCTTCGGAGTGAATACAGCATATTTTTAATTTTTGAGTATTTAAATTCCAACATTTAATGTCAAAGTCTACATATCTCCAAAGTATACTTTTAAAATTTGTTTGCTGTAAAAATGTAATGGATAGAAATTATAAATTATGAGATGGCCATCCTTATATCCTCATTAATTATATTAGCATTTTCACAATTTGAAACCAACTGAGGAATGTATACTCAACACACTGTATTTAGCCTTCATACCATCATTATTGTATAGACAAAACACCCATTCATTTCCTTTGCCAAACCCATAGAATCTATTTTCCAATGATTGGGAAAAAGTGTCTTAAATTTAGGGTGGGCAGACTATTTAGAAATGGATATCAGAGGCACAAAAATCCCTTTTTTCATAGTGCCTTGCCAACTTGAAGTCATACTTGTATTGTCACATAAGGTAAAAATCACTATGCTTTTATTCAGATGATTTTCACTAAATACAAGTAACCTAGACCTTAAGTATGAAAATGTCCCTAGAGAAGACTCAGCCTAGCCTTTCTTCATGGTCATCAAGGACACATTCTTTCTGGTTTTCTTTGCATATCACAACACACAATTATTCGACAGCTTTTCTTTACCAGTCATATTGTAAGATACTAATCATCTTTCATACTCATGCTGGTCCTCCACATCTCAGTTATTCTCCTTTCATTGAGCAAATATTACCCAAAAGGTCTCATCAGTGCCAGACTCTGTGTTGAGGGCTATTTTAATGCTATGAAATCCATGTACTGTGAGAATATTGTTAATGAGGCATAATTGAAACATAACTCATTATACAAGTACTGGAACAACCAACATTCTGCCACAACTTAGAAGCTTGGTCTTAAGAAATCCAGAATAGTTCTGTCAGGGAATTCTGCAATCCTCTTAGAAAAGAAATTCAAATTGTGATGTAGGCAATCTTCTGAATATTAAGCTATGATCATTTGTTCATTAAGTCAATGTTTTATTTAGTGACTACTATGTGACAGATACTCCAGTAGATGTGGTACACATTATTCCTGCTTCAATGCAGTTAACATTTAGCGAAAGAGGAAGAAAAACATTAGGTTAATGGATTCAAGTGATAAAAAAATTAGAGTTTTAGAATGTTAACAGGCCGGAACAGAAGTAAAAAAACTATCAGAAGGAATTTAACTCCTGGTAACATCTTAAGAAAGCATTGGAGGTGATTTAAAAAAAAACAGCAACAACAACAAAAAAACATTGTCAGAGTGATGGGAAGAATATTAGGGGTCAAAAGTATGTTATTAGTCAAGAAAAATCTTGAAAGTCATGGAACAGACAGGGAAGCACCTCAGTTAGAAATCAAATGGAGAATCCATGAAGTGAGTTTTAAGGACTAGCAAGGGGCACCACAAATAACTCAGGGTAGTTATACTACCTAGAACAACTAGAAATTTCCCTATGTTCAACAGAAGAAAATCTGTGTGTGTGTGTGTGTGTGTGTGTGTGTGTGTGTGTGTGTGTGTGTGTGTGTTTGCACACATGTGTGTGCATGCATGCATATTTGTATGTGCAGGCATGGTGTATTTGTGTGTTTGTGTGTATGCATGTGTGTGTGTATGAAGGCATGCACATGCCACAGAGATCACATGAGGGTCAAGGAACAACCTTGCGTGTCAGTCTTTACCTTCTATCTTTTGGAGACATCGTCTCTCTGTTGTTTTTTCCACTGGGTATAATTCACAAACTTTTGGCTGTTCTCTATGTGTGCTTCCTTTCTCCTTATGGGAGCTGGGATTATAAAGGGCTTGTTCTATGCATTCCACTCTTATGTGGGTTCTAGAGATTTGAACTCAGTCCCTCACATAAGGACTTTTCCGTATACCAAGCCATCTTCCCAGCCAGGCCTGAAGGTTTTAATGTATGAAAAGTGATATGTTTTAAGAGCACATCAACGTAAAGCATGATACAGGGCCTGAGAACAGGGGGCATGGCAAAAAGATCTCCTATATTCCCTTGATGAACAGAATATCAGCCATAAATTATGCGAAATACTCAGAAGTGTTATCTGGCTCGTCTTTCCTCTAGTGTCATTCTGACGTCAGCCACATATAGGCAGGAATCTCCAGCTACCTGTATTTCTATTACCTAATGCCAGACCTAGTTATGTGATGGGAATTTTTATTAAAGGTTGCTGAGTTTCTTGATTTGTGTCATTTCATGTTTTAGTGGGCTTAGAGATATGTGTCTTTAGACAAGAAAATGAGGAGAAACACAGGATCAAATGTGCATTTTATCTTCCTCCTAAATTTATGCATGAGGGATAAAAATTCATTTTCCTAATAATGCCTCACTGTGACAACATTCATATTGCTGATTTTTCTCTTATTTATAATTGATAACATGAATTATTATCCATATATACATCTACTAGTAGGAAACATTATCAATTATGTTATGGGTGTCCACAAGTATATAACTATCTGCTTGGACATATGTTAAAAATTTAAAAAATAGAGACACCCTTCTTACTCAAGGGCCCTCACATCAATTTGCATGGTGATTAAATAGCTTTTTAATTGCTGTTAAATTATGCCAGCTAAACTGTGATTTCATGCAAATATTAAGCTGTAATGACACGTACTGAATCATTTACTAAGATTTAGAACTTGGAACCAAGAGAGACAATTAATTCTAATCCTCAGATTCAACTAAATGATGTGTCACTGGGCTTTTCTGAATGTGGCCTGATTGCTTTGCTATCATTTATAAATTATACAAAGATTATATGACATCCAGAAAACATAACGTGGCAGCAATAATGCATTTAGAGACATTTGTATTGAAAACTCTTAGGGATTCCCTTGTGTTGATTTTTTTTTCTTTGGGAAAACAAATAACTCACATCGGATAGAAGACAGCTCTTATCCTCGCCCTCCAGACTGACTTTATAAGAAGAACGCAATTACTCAGAACTACAGTTGTAGTTATCAAGCCGAGGATATAAAAAGCTTAATGTAAAGCTAACTTTATTTTTGCTACACTCTCTACTACTAATGTTATTTTCAAATGGGGTCTCTACTCAGAAACAACTTTTGCTTCAATTTGGATTTTCTCTTTACAATTTGAAAGACTAAAAGCCCGACGCTGAGGTAAGATCCCCAAGACCCAGGACAACTGTTCCTTCTTTTCCTCTTCCCAAGAAAGCACCTGGTTCCACAGATGCTTCTTCCTCTCTCCCTACAGAGGCTAGGTATGTTTTAGCTTTGTTATATTTTTTTCTTAATGAAAATTGTTTTAAAGTATAACTGTGTCTTTCTAACTATCACTGTACAATATAGGAAATCCTGCATGATATGAAATAAAACCAAATTCAGTGTTCAAACAAGAGTCTTCTGGCCCAATGCCACCGGAACAAAAGTAATACAATTTGTTTTGCTGTGTTGACTCCAGCATTTCCTCAAAATTGGTTCATTGCAGGTTATTATCTAAGAAATATGTGGAAAAATACCAGAATTCTACAGAACAGTCTAAATCAGTGGTTCTCAACCTCCCTAATGCTGTGACCCTTTAATATAGTTCCTCATGTTGTGGTGACCCCCAACCATAACTCTGTTTTCATTGCTACTTTATAACTTTAATTTTGTTGCAGTGATGCATCACAGCGAAAATATCTGTGTTTTTCGATGGTCTTAGGTGACACCTGTGAAAGAGTCACTTGACCTTCACAGGGATTCTATGAGCAAGGGATGTGGGGACCTGCCCCACCGGGAACTTAGGTCACCTGTGAAGAGGTGGCTTGGAACCGATTAAAGGTAAGTGCTCGCCCCTTGCCCTGTTCCCCAGCCTCCCTCTTACCCGGAGACAATCAGATGCAGTGGGGAGTCAAGTCAAGCAAGAACTAATTTATTGATAGGCAGTAAGCCTCTTTTATACCAGAAAAACTCAGAACCCTAGGAGAGGGTGAAGGAACCAACCAATCATTTTAAAGGTCACCCTATTTACAAGTTGTTTATGCTCTGACATCATTTTTTGTTTTTAGTATCTTATCTTAGCATAAATAACTTGAGCTAACTTCCTTCTTTACCATTTGTCTCTAATTTCCATACAAACAACCCAAGCTAACTTCCTCTTAGCCATCCTTTGTATCTATTCTCTGCACAAACAGCTTAAACTAACTTCCTCTGGTACCATTTGTATCCACTCTCTGCGTAAACAGCTTAAAGCTTAAGCTCTATTTATCTGAATTTCTCTCAGCACCCTCTTTGCAGCCCATGTATGCCCCACAAAGCGACATTGAGATCATGATGGGAAAATGTCCAGAGACGACCAGCCAAACTAGTGGGAACGTATGACCAATAAACCATGGACCAATAGCTGAGGAGCCCCCATGGTACTGGACTAGGCCCTCTGGATAGGCCAGACAGTTGTTTAGCTTGAACTGTTTAGGGAGCCCCCAGGCAGTGGGATCAGGACCCAACCCTGGTGCACGAGCTGGCTTTTTGGAGCCTTGTGTCTATGGTGGGACACTCTGTGCAGCCTTGGTGCAGGGAGGAGGGGCTTGGACCTGCCTCAACTGAATGTGCCAGGCTCTGCTGACTCCCCATGGGAGACCTTGCCTTGGAGGAGGTAGGAATGGGGGATGGGTTGGGGGGTGAAGGCTGGAGGGTGGGGGGAAGGAGGAGAGGGGAATCTGTGGCCTGTATGTAAAATGAATAGAAATCTCCTAATTAAAAGAAAAAAGAAGTTGCAACCCACAGGTTGAGAATCACTGGTCTAAATGTAGGCCGACTGAGAAGTAAAGCAAGTTTAAGAATTATATTTCAGTTTTTGTGTGA